GGCACAGACAGCGCCTCCGCGGCAGGTCAGAAGCTCCCTGGCTTCCAGGGGTCAGCCCAGACTTTGCTACAGCTCGGCCAGCAAGGAGAAAATGGCCCTTTGGGAAGATGGGTGCGCGCTCAGCGGCACGTAAAATGTTTGTGAGGCGCGGGTCTGCGTCTTCGGTTCACTCCTGGCTCCAGTCAACTTTTTCTTCTTCCTCCTGGGGCGGAGAGAGGGCCGCTCAGCAGCTTCGTGCCTAAGGCAGGACTCAAACTCACCGTTGCCCCTTCACCAAACTGATTCTCAGGGCTGGTGTAGTGTAGAGTGCAGGTAAGTCAGAGGTTAAGCAGTAAGCGGGCTTGTTAAGCTTTTTGGTACCACCAGCCCAGGGAAGGCAACTTTGCTTCCTTGCCAGTGGTCTGTGCCGCTTCCGATACAGCCCCCTCCCAGCGAGGCTGCACCATCGGAGGGGACTGCCAAGCTCAACAGAAGGTCTCACAGTTCAGAGCAGCAGCGGGAAGAGGACAGCTGTCACGGACTTAGGGAAACACCCTTTTTCTTGGAAAGAGCTCCCGCTTGCTCCCTTCTGGCATTACTCCTTGGAGTCCTCTCGGCCCCCACTTCCAGAGCTTTGGTTGGTTGCCAGGATGGCACTTTTGGCGCAACCCCACAGGAACAGCTGTTCCTCCCAGGGCAGTCAGCGGGGAAGAGCAGCGTGGGGCAAAGACTCACCATTTCCGCCTCCTCTCCCTGGTTGAGCAAGGCCCAATGGTTCCCTCCATGCTTTTCCCCCATGGGCAGTGGTCCTGGCGGGTCTCCTGAGGTTCCCCCAAGCCTCCTGGGCTTTCTTCAGGGTCAGTGCAACAGCCCTTCCTGGGACAGCAGCTTATATGCCAGCTGACCTGCAGGAACACACCCTCCTCCTGTGAGGAGGCTTCTGCTGCTGAGGGACAGCCCCTCCCCGGAGCTCCAGGTGAAATGCACCTTCCACCCTCCCGCCTTTCTCCGGTGCTGTACCCTGGAAGAGACTTGGCTCCCTCCTGATGGTGCCACAGGAGAGCAGCAGTTCCCTCGTGCCCAGGCGGGCTCCAGGCCAGGCAAAGGAAGAAGCCCTGCCTGCAGGGATCAGATTGATTTGCGTTGGGGCGGGCGCCTGACAAAGGCAGGTACTGTACGACTGCCACACCAGATTGTGTGAGAGAGGCAACTTGGATCAGAGGAGGGCTGTTGCACCACATCTCTGCGCTTGGCCTTTCTGAAGGTGCTTCCTCCTCTCTTCGCCTTGTCTTTGCTCCTAAGATGTCTTCCCCCAAATCCCTTGCTTTTCTGCCTCGCATCTTGGGAAGGCAGAGGAAGCCCTGTGGAGAGGAGGAGGAGGAGGAGGACAAGCTGACCCTTAAAGAAGGAGCCACGGACATACAGTCTGTTGATCCATGGCAAAATAAACACTTGTGGGCCGTTCTGTGAGCCGTTCTCTGGCTCTCTGGAACTCACAGGCCCTTTCTCAGAGAAATTCCACCTACACGTTAAGCTGGGCTCCTGGTGACTCCACTCCCCAGAAATGGAAGTGGTTACCTGACCCCAGACAAGCTGGAAGCGCTGCAGCCAGGAAGCAGAAGCGGCAGACGGCCCTTCGCAATCTGGGCGAGCCCCTCTCAGCTGGTTCCCCTGCAGATGCTCAAGCGGTCTTCCTGGTCTTCGGCAGGTGGAGGAGAGAGGAGGCTCAGCGGGTCCCCGACGCTCGCTCTCTGCCTGCCACCCAGGTGAGTCAGGCCACCACTGCTTCTGACAGCAGTGACAGCTGCACCGCCCAAAAGATGTGCCATTCTCCACGGCATTTTTAATGCAGGATCATCCCGTCAGCGTGAACTTCAAGGCAAATGTTTTCACCCTACAGGCCTCAGACATTGGTGGCTAACGTGGAGTCTCCTGAATAATTTGAAGCGTTGCGTCTCTCATTTATTCACTGAGGACTACAACCCAGCCAAAGTTCAAGGCAGTTCGATAAAGCAGCTACAAGGGCAAGTTAAAGTGTGCTGATAATTGATTAATATATTGATTTTCCTCCCATTTTCAGATAGGCATACCAGAACACCTTTCAAATTGTGGTGAAAACTACAAATATACTATCTTCAGGTTTGTCAAGGAATGAAATTCTTCATTTGTTGGTGAGGATCTGATCGAGCATTTCAAAGGTATCAGTGCTCCATTAAAGCCCATTTATTGTTGCTCGAAGTACATGTCTCCGGTGCCTGCCACTAACACTGGAGGCTCTCCTTAGAGGAGGGGCACTTTACAGATAAAACAAACCAGCAGTTCCCAAGCTCCTCTCGGCGCTGGCTGAAGTCCAGGGTTCGGCTTCTCACACTCCGCAGAGCAGGAAACCAGAAAGTGCAGCAGCAGCAGCAGCTTTCACGGGTGGAACCACAATCACAGTGATATTCAAAGTCACCAATATGGGGGGGGGGTTGCTTACTATTTGTGCGCACCATTCTAATCACTAGGACTCCAGGTGGTGCACAACACAGAAAGAAGGAAGAAAGAAAACGCAACAGGATCCACAGAACAGACATAAAAGAAGTACCGGCGCCCCAACCACCCTGGGAGCCAAAGGCCTACTAGAGCAAGCCTGTCTTCAGGCCCTTTTGAGAAGAGAGGAGAATTGGGAGAAAGTTGACAGCCCCCTTTGGCATCTCCTACCTCCAAGAGGTCTTCCCTGGCTGGAGGGAGGGAGGGAACGAACCACCACACACCTGAAGCAACGGGGTTTCCATGGTGAGAGGCGAGGAACAAGCAATTTTGAGTACATTACTAAGAACTGAATACCTCAATTAAGAATACCTCAACCATGGGGATGGCTAGCCCCACAGAGGCCTCCTGTCTTCAGCCTCAGATTTTTCATCTTCTTGGACTCTCCTTCCCCTTTTTAGTAATGCTTTTAACTTATGTT